CAAGCTTTTCTAGTATAGCTATCTTCTAAGCTTCATCAAAGCCCCATGCTCAAGGTCTCAATGGAATCCTACAATTCCACCTATGCTCTGTCTTCAGGGCCAACCCTTCACACAGGTCACACCCTCGCGTGAACCAGGAAGTTTCTTACCGACAGAGTTGAAATTTTTTAACCTATGCTAAGAGTTACCTCTACTTTGACATGCTCAACAGTTACCTTCCTAAAATTCCGCAAAAAACCCTGTATCTAGAACACAACTTAGTTCTAACTCACCTCTTGGATTTCAGTCAATATTTTCTTACACATAATGTTAATTACAAAACATCTCTAGCAGCCTTGTCTAAGGTAGCTTGGTTATTCTTTTATATGTTCATCAGTGCTGCTCCTGACACCTATTTTTAAAAATTGATTAATTCATTTTTATGTATATGAGTGCTTTGCCTGCATATATATCTGTGCACTATAAGGGCATTGGACTTCCTAGAACTGGAGTTACAGATAGCTGTGGGCCACCACGTGGGTGCTGGGAATTGAACCTAATCCTCTGGAAGAGCAGCCAGTGCTCTTAACTGCTGAGCCATCTCTGCAGCCCTGACACCTATTTCTTTTGTGCCTAGCAAAAATCACCTTCTTGACTTTGCCCTTCCTAATCCCAGTGGAAGATTCTCTCTTTCTGCCCTTATAAAACACTTGGCTCAGCCAGGCAGTGGTGGTGCACACCTTTAACCCCAGCACTCAAGAGGCAGAGACAGGAGGATCTCTGAGTTTGAGGCTAGCCTGGTCTATTGAGTAAGTTCCTGGACAGCCAGGGCTACACAGAGAAACCCTGTCTTGAACTCCACCCCTCACCCCCCAAAAAAAGACAGACCTGGCTGCTATCAACAAGGACATCTTCAAAGACCCTACTCTGAAACACAAGCCAAGTGGGAGGCCAAGGTCAAGTTTGAGGAGAGATATACAAGATGTGCCAAAACGAGTGGTTCTTTTAGAAGTTTCGGTTTTAGGCCTTTGTCTCTCCATCATTAAAAATAAGAGGGACAAGACAGGCTTAGTAGCACATGCCTTTAATCTCAGTACCTGGAAGGCAAAGGCAGGCAATCTTGGTGAGTTTCAGGCTAGCCTGGTCTACATAGCAAGTTCTAGGCCAACCAAGGGTACAGAGTGAGAGACCCTGTCTCAAAAACAAACAGTTAATAAACAAGGAAACAGCTGATAAGGCAGAGAGAGCCAGTTCTCTCCAAGAGTGTGGATCCTGGAAGGTGGCCATGCTCCAGTGGACGGCAGGTCCTACACCTATGTGCATATGGGCAGCACTAATTGGATTAGTGAGTTATTCAAAAAAGAAAAAGAGTACATGAAGTTGGGAGGGAAATGTGGTGGGGAGGTTTGGGGAGAGTTTGGTGAATGGATATGATCAAAATACATTGCACACATGTATGGAATTCTCAAAAATAATTTTTTAAGAGGATGAGCCAGCAAGATGGCGCAGTGGGTAAGGGGGCATGCTGCCAAACGTGATCATGTGAGTTCAATCCCCAGAACCTACATGGTAGAGGGAGAGAATAGACTCTAAAAGTTGTCCTCTGGTCCCATACACTCAAACATGGGCACATGGATGGGCAAATGCACACTCACAAACTGAATAAACAAATGTAAAAAATAAATAAGGTCTGGGGAAATGTCACACAAGTGTAAGGACCTGAGTTCAAATCCCAACAACCCACAGGAAGTTAAGTACGGTAGGGCAAGTTTGCAATGTCAGTGCTCCTCCTTTGCCAAGATGGAAGGCAGAAAGAGGGGAATCCTTGGAAGGCTGGAGGCCAGAGAGTGTATGCAGTGTCAAACAAAAGAGAGAAAAGAGAGACCCTGTTTCAAAGAAGATGAAAGTCAAAATTGACACCTGAACTCAGACTCTACCCTCCACAAAAACACTATGGCATAGCTGTGGCTGGACTCACATGCACACACACAAAGAAAAAAGATAATGAAGCCAATGCTTAAAAACCTGGAGATTTCACATAAAAATCTAGACTTTGGCATTGCTTCAAAGAGAATGACATTTATATTCTAAGAGGCTTCACTCTGCTACCTAATCTAAACTAGGTTATCTCAGTACTCTCTATAAAATAGCCCCATTTCATTGTATAGTGTCCTGCTAAAATTGTTTATTTATTCTACTTTTTTGATAGTACTGGGGATTGAACCCAGGACCACATGTATGCTAAGCAAGAGATCTACTGTTGAGCTAGCCCCCCCCCCCCACTCCTCTTTTTACTTTTTATTTGAGATGAGGGTCTCACTAAATTGCTTGGGCTGGTCTTGGAACATGAGGCAATCCTTCTGCCTCAGCCTCTAAAGTAACTGAGATTGTAATTGTGTGCCACTATGCTCATTCACATTATGCTTGTCTTTGCAGTACTGGGTACTGAACCCAAGACTTCACACACTCCAAGCAAGTACCCTACTACAGAGCTATATTCCCAACTCATTGACCATTTATTTTATTCAAATGAACCAAAAACTTAAAGCTATGAGAAGAGACCGCATTGCTCTTAGACTCATAGCTCCAAAGAGGACTTCCTTGAGGCAGGGGGATCTCTAGGTTATAAATTACCCCAATTACACACAAAAGTAAATGTATTCATATAACCTCTCTTCTTCCTCATCCTAGAAGCACATGGGCTGGCCACCTAACCTAATCCAATCCTGAAAACCAGACCTAATCGGTTAGTATCCCGTCCCAGGTATTCATACAGCCATTTGGTGACACTTAGTGAACAGTCTCATTGTCCCAAGTGCTGTTCTAGGTGCAAAGAACTGTGGGAAGAAGAAGAAAAGTCCTTTCCCTTGTGGTGGTAACATGCTGAGGGGAACAGATGGGTTTCGAGGGACAATTCTGTCTCTAGACCTATGACCTTTAGTCTGTCCAACTGGTTCTTCTTGTCTTTTAAGGGTCAATGGCTGTCTCCTTGGTGAGATCTTCCTGGTAAATGAGCCTTCCGCCAGCTTCCTCACCCCTGACTTTCACTTACTGCCCTATGCAAACACAAGCTACTGTATGCTCAGCACTGTAGCCCTCACCTCCATTCCATGTGGCCATAAAATACCATCTTTCTTATCTTCCATGGCTTCTTACAACTGAGATACCCAAGCCAGTGCTTGAGTTATTGCTCTTGAAGCAAGGAAACACTTCCCAAACTTGGCATAGAGGCCTATGAAACCACTGACCCATTGCTGTGGTTTCTAGACTATGCATTTTATTTACACATAGATTTAACAACCTATGAAGATAAAGTTACTATCAACCACTAGGTAACTTAACATACTGAAAATTACGACAAATAAAGGTCATTATAAAATATAAGTACAAAAAACCCATGAATTTCTTCTTGTGCCCCTGATAGTAGGCAGTTTTAGATCTACTTCTTACTGACTGGAACATTTGGGGAGCTAAGGAACAGTCCTGGGCTTCAGGCTCAGCACCCATGGTGGGAGGAGATGACTGGTGTAACAGTCATCTTTACCTGAAAGGGCTATTATAAGGACTGAGAATGTGTGAGTGCTGAACACTGTGTCTTGCACTTGAGTGCTCAAAACACACTAGCTACCCTTGTGTTCCAAGAACTAACCCCTCCCATTTGTTAACCTATCTTTGTGTTTAGCAATACTTAGTGGAAGAATCTGTGGTTAAAAGTGGAACTTCGATTACAGGGTCTTGTCACACTGCCTGGATGACCAGAATAAAAAGTAAGGGCAAACCAAGGGGGAGGGGGGATGATACAAAAGCAAAACAGGAAAGGGGCAAACACCTTTTCTCAAACAACTGTTGTCACTTCTTTCTTCTCACAGAAGAGAACCTTCTACCTGTTTCTTCATCTGCAAAATGAGGATGTAGCCAACAGATTTGCCTGCTAGGTTGTAGATTCTAGATGTAATAACACTCCAATAAACTGAGTCACTGCTTAAGAGTTCTGGACTCACGAAAGTAAGTGACCTTAGATAACACTCCTGTAAAACACGAGAATGATACCTATTTCACAGGACTGTGCAAGCAATAAATGAAATAACGCCAAGTATTTGGGACTGGGAATATCAAAAGAACCCAATTACTGACTAAATTACTAGCCTATTCATTGGACTTCAAATCCTCAAAGGTGGAGTGGAAAGAAACTAATCTTGGCTGAGGAGCTGAGAGAACCGGGCTTTGTTAACCAGCACGATGACCGCGGGCAAGTCTGGGACCCTCTCCAAACCTTCGTTCCCGCGGCCGAAAAGTGAGAGAACTGCCAGAGAGGATCCCTGGGCTCCTACCAGTTCGTCCACTTCGCTGTTAAGGCTGCCGAAACAAAGGCCACCCGCTCCCTAGTCTGCACCCGGGGGGGGGGGGCACAACTCAAAATTCTCGCTGCTCAACTCCCTTTGCGGGGCGACAGCAGGAGCGCCCGGGTCTCCAGCCGAGACCGCCGCACCGCCGCCTCTGCCCGCTGCATCAGTAACTTGCTTTTGCAGCTGTTGCCCCAAGTTTTCCAGAGCGCCTGGAGCCACCCGGGCTGTCGGTCAGTCGCGGAAAGAGCAGGGGCGTGGGGAGCCGAGCCTAAGAGCCCAGTCCGGGAAATCCCGAAGCCGCTCCAGCGGCCGGGCAGGGAGTGACAGGTGCGACGCCGGCGACGAGGACCGGACGAACCCGAGCGCGTGTGGGCGCGCGAGGGAGGCGGCCGCCTCGCTTCCTCCTCTGCCCGCGCTCGCGACGCCCCCCAGCCCCGCTTCAGACCCTGCGGCGCCCAGGACTCCTCGGCCTCCGGGAGCCTCCTGCGCCGTGGCCCGGGCTCAGGCTTTGGAGCAAGGAAGAACTGGGCACCGCCGGGCCAGCCCGGCCGGTCCGCGGGTTCCTTCCCGCGCACGCCAGGGCGGTCGCGGGGTGGGCGCACGCGCACCCGCGAGCGCCGCCGTAACCCCTTCCTCCCCGCGCGCCCCCCGCACGCCCACCCAGCCGCCACTCACCATCGATGTCCCCCAGAGTCAGCTCGTCGCCCAGCTCCGTGAGGGTGTCCATGGTCTCCAGACCGCCCAGCTCGCTGCTCTCGTCCATCGCCCAGCTTGGCGCAGAGTTCCCCCCCCACCCCTCCCCGTGAGGTCCGGCTCAGGGAGACGCGGAGGCGGTGCCGCCGCCACCGCCCATGACACCCGACGGCCCCCACCTGGTACCGCCTCACCGGCCCGTGCCAGCCGCCGCCATGTTTGAGCTGCGCCCCGACTCCACGGAAGGGGCGGGGCAGGATTCCCCCCCGCCCCGGGCCGCGCCCACTGCGGCCCCGCCCCCAGCCCCCGCGCCTCCATGTTTGTTGTCAATGGGACCAGGCTCTGCTCAGCCAATCGGCGCGCCAAGCGGCTCGTGGGGTGATGGCGCGTCATCGATCAGCAGCTCAGATTTGCATAGCGGGGCCCCGCCCCTCACGGCCTCCCTGCGCCCGCGGAGAGTAGCCGCCAGGCCCTCGACCCAGCCTTCCGCGGCTTTAAAGGGGCCGCTACTTTCCCGCTGGATCAGCTCCAGGAGCGACTTGGGCGCGAGTCCAGGACTAGAAGGGTTAACAGACGGCTGCCGGGCGCTACCGACCACAGCCCCCGGTACGCTGTGAGCACATTACGTCATCTTCCCAGTTGCCTCTCCCTCGCTCTAGCCCTGAATAGAAGAATCACAGTGCCCCAACACTCAGGGATGCGGTCCAGACCTGGCCAGTCACTTCATTCCACCCAAGACCTGACAGGGTCTTGGATCGCCCGAGTGCTGTCAACATCTTACAACTGGCCCTCGATCATGGGAACCTCGTAATCACTCAAGGCCTTTGAACAACGTCATTTGCCCAAGCCCACCCCTGGTCTCTAGAGGTGGGACTCCGAGGATCCTGAAGCATCCCACTCCAGCAGTCACCTCACTGCATCATCTTACAGGTGGTCACATAGTACACCAAGGTGCAAACTTCCAAGAATGTATCCCGAGGAAACAAAGATTTGTGTTCAAAGGAATGCTGAGTAAATACATACACCCAAAGACATTCATCACAGAGTTCTTTGTAACTAGGGAAAACCCAAGCAGCCCAGGAAGTCACCATATAAATTACCTCCACAGTGAAAGATCATGGCAGCCTTAAAAAATTATGGAATGGGCATTAGAAGAAAGACATGTGCATTTATTGACAGGAAAAAGCTTTCATGACATACATGGGAAAATCTTCCAGAGTCTGAGGCAGCTGTTTTAGGGGTCAGACAGAGCTAAAGACCATACAGGCTGTATGGAGAAACTTGCGGCTCCATTAACCCGTGCATTGGGCTGGGTAGGCAACTGTTGCTAAGCCTCGGTTTTGTTATCTTCAAAACAGCACAGGACCACCCTCGGAATTTTCACATTTATTTGATTTCTGTAGCAAGCAAACAGCTCTTGCCTTCCAGGTGTAAGTGTTGCAGCCCTGGGGGGAAAGGTTTTCCCAATGCAAGTGTTGCAGCTCTGAGGGGAAAGGTAACAAACCTCACACAAGAGATTTACAGGCACAGACATAAGAGTGTGGCTGGGAGAAGCGGCAGAGAACTGAGCAGGAGGCAGGCTTTATACAGGGTTTCTTGCGGGTATGTGTGGATGGAGGTTTCCTGGCAAGATTCTGTGGCCTGATCTTAGGAGCAAGTAGGGATTGGTGAGTTTCTGTGGCTGATCTTGGGCGGCTTCTTCTTCTTCCTTCTTCTTCTTCTCCTCCTCCTCTTTTTTTTTTTTTTTTTTGTAGAGCAGAGCTTGGCCACCTGCATCTTGAGGGGCTAAAAACTGCCCTTAGGGACCTTAGAGTAGTCTGGGGACAGGACCTGGCCACTTGAGGGCCTTACATTAAGTACTTGTGTGTGTCTGTGTGTGTGTCTGTGAATGACAAAAACACTGAACATAAAAGTAACAGACAATGGTACAAGTGACCAAGGAAAAGGTGTGATGAGACTAACAAGGGGCCTGACCTGTGATATCAAGACTCTGGCCTGGGACCAGCAAGATGGGTCAGTGGGTAGAGGTGCTTGCCAACAAACCCAACAACCCAAGTTCAATCCCTGGGATTCACGAAGTGGAGAGAACCAATTCCCGTAAGTTCTGTCCTTTCCATGTATGCTTGGTCAACTGGCCTGAAGAAGCACAAATGAAGTCCCAGTAGAGGTTGGTGGCACACACCTTTTCTGTGGGGACAGGTTTTATGTAGTACATGCTGTCCTTGAACTAGGTTTGTAGACTTTTTTTTTTCCCTTGAAAGATCTTTATTTTTTTAAGCGGGCAATGGTGGTGCATGCCTTTAATCCTGGCATTCTGGAGGCAGAGGCAGGCAGATCTCTGAGTTCAAGGTCAGCCTGGTCTACAGAGAGAGTTCCAGGACAGCTAGGGCTACACAGAGAAACCCTGTCTTGAAAAACCAAGTATAAATAAATAAGAAGCTTTCTGGCTGGATCGATCAAGAGTGTGGCTAGAATGAGCTGAAACACAGGTAATGACGGTTGTCAGGTGGTAGCAGGGCAGATTTAAGCTTTGACTGTCCAAGAAGAAAAGCCAAGGGAAGGGAAGCTAGGCCAAAATACCTATTCCTTTAAAGAAAAGCTGAGGGAAGACACTACTAGAGACAGAGCAGACTTTGACCAAGGACAGAGCTCGGAACAAGAATAACCCAGAAGGATCATCCCCTAAAGCCCTCGTCCATCTGGACACTGACTAGGGAGGGCCGAGGAAAACAGAACTGAGTTGGGAAGGAGAGACATCTAGCAATGGCTGGAGACATTTTTAGTCGCCCTAACTGTGGGACTCTACTGGCATCTAGCAGGTGGGGAGCAGGGATACTGCTAAATATCCTACACCACTCAGGATAGCCTTCTTACACAATAGTAAAGTAGTCCAAAATGTGAACAGTGCCACACTGTTGAAATGCCCTGCCTTAAGGGAAAATTAAGGGACTCCCGGAGTCTCCAGGAGTGCCATGGACTGGACTTAGAAGGCTGAAACATCTAAGACCACACTGCCATTATTGCCACCATGAGCACACAGGTCAGGCCACTAGAAAACATACACAGTTACCTAGGCCACGGCCACTACCTAAACATACAATTGGTAGAGCTACAGTAACATAAATGAATCCCAGCCACTGAGTGAGCTTGAGAAGCAAGTGCCCTCCCTCAAGTGTTTTGTGTTTTTGTTTTCTAAACCCACCCACCCACCCACCACTAGGTGTGGTGACACATGCCTTTAATCTCAGGATTAATCTCTGAGTTTGAGGTCAGCCTGATCTGCAGAGTGAGTTCCAGGACAGTCTGAGCTACATAGTGAGACCCTGTCTCAAAGAAACAACCAACCAACCAAACAACAACAACAACAACAAAATCACAGAAAAGAAAGACAGGTCCACAGCCAAGCTGACCTGGTTCCTTAGAAGTTATGGGAAGAAGCATTTTCCTTGCAAAGCCACCAACCACAACCTCTCTCAAAGAGGAAGGGACAGGGAGGACCCTCGTGGCTGGCTCTGGCCCCGAGCCCCACAAGCACTAGCACAGGTTCAACAGATGATGGGTAGATCTCATCCTTTCCATAGGCCAGGAAGTCCCAGCCGCTAGTGCTGTCCTATCATAGAAACCTCACAGGAATCGGCTAGGTCACACAGCTGGAAAGGGACAGGCTGGGAATGCAGCCCAGGGCTCTTGGACCAGCTGCGTATGTCTTCTGCATCAGATAAGCATTTCTACGGGAAAACTTCTCCAGCCCTCCTCCCGACTACTTCTCATCCCCATACTTTTCCCGAATGACTGTTGAGATGCAGGCTACTCTGGGACCTTCCAAGAAGCCTCCCCAACACCTGGCTTCCCTTTGCTATGCTGGCCAGTAGAAAGGTAAGCCTCCAAGGATGTAGGTTAGAGCTTGGCAGAGGATTCAGACATTATCAAATTTATTTTACCAATGAAGGCACAGCACAGGGAAGAAAGAGTAGGCCAAGGTCAGTCAGGCTAAGGCTCAGGTCTCGCCACCACTGTCAGCAGTAAGAGGAAGAGTGTTCCTGAAGGTAGGGGTATGGCTGGGGATGACGTAGGAATGGTGGGTGTCTCCATGCCTTTAAGGGATACATTTTGGCTTGGCAAGATCGAAGAGGTAGCACTGAAATTTCAATAGAGCCAAGGCAGCCACCTGCTTTGGAATTCATAGAAACCAGGCTGCCCTCTGAGGGCCTAACTCCTTCCACAGCTCCCTGCCCTGTGGTCATGAGACTCTGCTTGAACCCTGAACTGAGAAGCCCACCGTCTGGTCAGCGCAGTTTACAGTAGTCCCGTTACCAAGCCAGCCTCCTGTAACCTGTCCCCTATAACATCTCTCCACACACAGGCTCCAGCTTTAGCAGTAGAGAGAACAAGTTGATTGTCCCCTGAACCAGCTCAGTGACTGTCCCCAGTTATCTGAGAATAGAGATCATGTTCTTTTAAGGTCTCCTTGAAATAAACACCCTCCCAGGACACTTCTGGGTCCCCTCCAAACTGATCCCTTATGAAGGGCAGCAGTGAGTAAATGAGAGGCCTAAACCTCTTGTTTCTTGTTCTTGTTTCTCTGCAATGCGAAGGCCTAGGGCTCCGTCCTGATGAGGCAGAAACATACTCCAGGCTTGGCCTGCCATGCTAGAAGCTCCTGGTGTCCTTACAGGCTCCTCGTCAGCCTTGGTGAGGCCAGTGAATTTGCTGGCTTTTAGTGTTGCTCTGCAGAGAGCTGGAATGGTGATAGGCAGCCCAGGAATACAGTGAGGCCAGCTACAAGCATGACACCTTCACCTGTAATTCAGAGCCAGATTCTACCGCTTCCTCACAAAGGCCAGCGGCTGGCCTGCAACTCTCACCAAGAGGATCCAGACCAGGAGTCCCCCAGCCAGCCTCCCCCAACAGCTTCTCTGCAAGGTCCTGTCTACAGAACAGTGTCCTCTCAAGGCCCCCTTGATGTGCCCTAAGATCCCAGAGGCTCAGTCTTTTTGGCCAAGGCTCAGACCCAGCTCCTGAGGACTCAGCAAACATGGGGTCCCCATCCGGAAGTGGCTGGTGCTCACCATGGTGCTTGATGCTGCTATACCACAGCCACACGGCTGCGCCTCTTCTGACTGGCCTCTTGATGATCCCTTAGGTCCCAAACTGCTCCAGGGCTACAATTCAGACTGAGATCTTGAGATTCTTGGGCCTTTTCGGATCT